GCGAAATCGATGGACAAAAAGAAGTTAAAAAAAAAAAACTAAAAAACTAAAAAAAAAGGAAAGAAGCGAAGAGAGGCTGTTGTTGTTGGCTCGATTCCCCATCGTTCACGGAAATCCATTTCACGAGCGAGTGAAGAGAGAGAGAGAGAGAGAGAGAGAGAAAGAGAGAGAGCGGCTTTGAGAAACGCCGATATTGTTTTCTCGCCGGTTGATTTAAGACTGCTTCCTCGCTGCCAGGATTTCGTCGAATCCCCGAATCCTGTCTGCGGCTTCTCGACGCCAATCCCCCGTCAATCCCACGGCCCATCCTTCCTCTCTCCCAATCCCCCATTGGATATTCTCGAAAACCAGCGTGAAAACACCAGTGTGGAACGAAACTTCAGAGAAAAGTATCAGCAGGATAATTGGAATCGATACTGGATGTCGCGAGATCATCCAAATTTTGAAATTCTCCCTCCCCTGAAAATTTAGGAATTAGATTTTCTAACAAAAAAAAAAAAAAAGAAGAAAGAAAGAAAAAAATTCCAAAGTTTTAACTACCTGGACTCGAATTTTTAAAACGTTGGCTCGAGGAAGGATAAATCCACCCTAAAGAGAGAGAGAAAGAGAGAAGAAAATAAAATAATATAAAATACAAAAGAAAGTAACGAGGGTGGTAAAATGGAAACAGGGTAAATGGAGCAAGTAGAGAGTGATTTATCGGTATACCGCATGCACACGTGTACGTACACAGTGTGGCTCGAATATATATATATATATCCAGATAACGTTTAAGTCAGCCGACTAAAGGGAAGCCATTAAATCAAACTGGACCAAGAATGCCCCGCGATAACCTCCGCATACCGTGGGTCATCGGTTCCTCCCTCCCCCTCCACGGTTAAGGGACGTCCAAGCTTTCGCTATTCGGCCTCCTTGGGACCAAGGGCGAATTAAGGGGTAATACGAGGAAGCCCCGGAGTTTTAAGGGTTGTGCGAGGAATTTCGATGGTTAAGGGAGTGTGTGTGTCTGTGTGTATGTGTGTGTGCACTTAAGCTCGCCGTCAAAAGGCCGTGGTCGGATGGCTTCCCTCCAGGAAATTCGTGGATAAACCGCCGTCGTTTACAACAACCTCGTAGTGGCTCTATGTATATTCGTAACTCGAGAGAGTTACTCGAGATAGTTCAGAGTGTGCAAATAAGTTCGTTTCTTCCAAATTCAAGATTTTATGACAAGATTACTCGATTCTTTTCGAGTCGAATAATTCCTTTAAAGTCACCGTCGTCGAATTTTCACGATGCACGATCGTCTTCCAAATTAAAATTTCGAATCTTTCCTACTTTTTGCACGCTTTGTAAGATAAGAATTTCCTGCCAGTGGCAAGCAAATCGTTTCAATAGCGTCGACAGCCGAACGTGAACGACGCCATATTGCTTGAAATCGTTGAGCGGTCATCATGATTCTTCTCAACAAATTGCATATGTATCACGAGATAAAGGAAATCGAATTTTGTGGATGTCTCGTTTTAATGTTTTTTGACTCGAGGAATTAAAAACACTGGAAAATAATAGGAGAAGGAGAGAAGGAACGAAATTAGATATAATTAAAAATTATGGGAGAATGCTTCACTAGATATATAATACTCTCAAGTTTCATTATTCGAGTTTGATTAAATAATGATTAATCGATTTAATTTTATTTATATAATAAATAGGTGTATAAGAAATGTATATAGTAATATTTAATAATACTTTAATATATATACTATAAATTAATTATACTAAAATATTACTATACTATAAAGTAATATCTTATAATAATATAATAAACTTTCTTTTTTAGAGCTCAAGAATGCCAAAAAAAAGCTGTTTCGGATGGTGTCAAGAAACGGAAAGCAATCGCAGAAAA